CCGGGAATCGAACTGTGGCCTGGTTCATGGGTCAACACTCAGCCACTGAGCCACGCCAGCCGGGCTAAAGGACTTATTCTAACAGGGACTTAGCAAATTTCAAAGAGGACTGTGATTATTTCTCAGCCATGAAACAATGTCCATTTTAATTATTCACAATTATAACCAGTATAGGTTTAATTAGGCAATTCAGAAATCACTAAGTAAATTGACAGGTATAATTTATTTTTAATAAGTTGTAAGACGATTAGGGCGCAACTCAAACAGCGCACCAGCACGGGTCGCTCAGGAAAACCTCAGGGTTATTGACATTTCTTAATCCATTTACCACGGCCACGATTAAGCTGTGTGTCTTGGTTCTGGGTTGATGACTTTTCACAGAGAACAATCCCAGAATTAGGGCAAAACAGGGTAAGGCAAATGTATTAAATATAGTACTCGCCCTGTAAAGTTAGAGTTGGCAAGCTTATTATGTAGGGTACTGCCAATCTATGCAGGTATCAACTGAGCATTTTCCTTCCGAGTATAACTGCTACTGCATAGTAAAAATTATTTAATTTTTCTAGAAAGAAATAAAGGTTTCATATTTATTCTAGAGTTGAAAAGGGGTTTCTGCCCGAGGGTTTTCCTAGACCTATGTTTTACAGTAGGTTTTACTGGAATTAATACAAAAATATAAAATAAAAATCCCATCAAGTACCTCTCAGGCCCCGCCAGGCTCTCATCTACTGAGCAAGGTCAGCTTATGGTACAAATGAACAAAAAGTTAAGCCTGAATTCTCAAGATCTTCAAATTCACTATCTTAACAGAAATTACACATTCTTAGGCAAAGTGCATAAAAAGGAAAAGAAATGACACTTGTACACATGCCCCTGTCATTAAAATGTGTGAAGAGCCCACGTCCATGTAGGCAACTCCAGATCCCACGCGTAAGAAGGACCTCAGCAATGGAAACATTTTCCCTAAACATCCTTGTGACCCAGAAAATATAAGAAGTCATCAATCTGTCAGCTCAAACTTCAAAACAAAGCCATTTTTCTCAAGAACATAATTTAATTTGGACCCCAAGAGCAGTTCTCCATTTCAGTTCTGTGCTTATAGGCAGTGATCTGTATGCCAAGATGGCCCTGCTGATTAAATCACAGGGACCTCCCGCTTTCACCCGAAAAATCTTCTTACTTGAAGAGAAGGCTCTGGTTAGTGGTGACCTAGTTTTATGCTGTAGAATGTGTAGCTTCAAGCAAGATTAGTCTTTTCCTTTTTTTCCTCTCCTGTTGCAGTCTTTTCACTTTTTTATTCTTCTAATTAAAAAGTCTGCCTTCAAAGTGAGAGGCACGCAGGTTATGTGATATTTTTAAATGTTTGCCATACTGCAATTTAAAGGCAGTTAAATGTGCATCTTGCTTTTCTCTTTTTAGAGTTTCCAAAGTAGTTATTAGGGTTCGAATTTTGACAACTACTCAGAAAAATTCCCAGGAACCCCTAATTCTGTAGGCTCTCTTTTCAAACTGTAAGCTTCCTGGGGTTTGTAAGATTTGTATTTGCTAAACACAAATCTGTACATAACTTGCTTCATTAAGCTTGGGATGCTGAAGGCATTCTATCCTAAAGGCAGGACAAAGGACGAACCATTGGATTTCAGATTTTACAATTTCACAGGCCAGTAAAATTTGAAAAGAATATTTTGGGGACATTAACTTAATTCTGGCAAGTCAGGAGATTAAAAAAGACAAATCTGGTTACAAAGTCTACCATCTCTGGTAATTACATTGTAAGGTTTATAAATGTAGAATCAATATGTTGTACACCTGAAACTAATAAAATATTATATGTCAACTATACTTTAATAAAAAAAGAAAAAGAGAAAGAAATATCTGTACACACACACACACACACACACACACACACAGACTACCAAACCAATATTCTGTGCCATCATTTCACAAAAGTCAGTTCAAGGAAGGAGATAAGAAAAGAGCAAAGGGCCAGTTACTTTAATTGGATAAATGCAATTTCATGGAAAACTAGTATCTTTTACTAAAGCATCTGTTTCACCGTTCATGACATGGGCTACCCCCTGGGAAACCACTCACTGAGCTCTCTGTCAATACTCTGATTTCATTTTTATTTTTGATTTGGAGACAAGAACTTGACCTGGAAACATGGGGAGGACGAGCTCTTTGCTATTCGTCATCATTTACTTAGGACTCTTTCCCTTGATTTTGCTGCTACCGTCAACGACAGAGGCAGGATAGAAAAAGCTCTTTCCTTTGCCACAGTCCTGATATAGTGATTACTTTCCTTTTCATTTATCTGAAGATTCATATATTTCACATGAAGAGGGAATAGCTTTCTACCTACTTACTAAAATCAATGAAATTTTATTATACTTCTTGTAAGATGGGTTATTCTCATTAAAAAGCAATGACTTTATGTTGTGCCATTTTTGACTATTGACATCCTTAAAGACACTGTGTTCACTGCCTGTTGAAAAGCAAGACTTAAACTTCTTAATCTCGAAAGACGAAGCCTGAGAGTAGATATAGAAAAAGGGGATACATAGTCATGGAAAGGGAAAATCCTACTAGACCCACATCTCTTCAAAATTGAAAGGAATTAATTTAACCCAAAGACATAGGAAAATGACTTGAAATCCCACAGAAAATTGGCGTGTGAATCAGAATTAGAAATCTGACCTCCTAATTATTGTTTCTAAATAGGGACACTAAAATATCTCAGAAAAACTTTCAAACATCCCACATTGGGGCTGTAGGCGTGGCAGATACCAAATAAAACATGACCTGTTTGATGTAACTTTGGTAAACTCATTAAGACACAGTCTCTACTACTGAGGCTTTTGGATATGACGAAATCTCTCCAAAATGAAGTAACATTAAGGCCAAAGCACCCCTCCGCTCCCTAGGGAGAGTTATCTCCTCTGTGCATCACCGGCTACCATATGGTATGTTCAGCAACTTTTGTCTCAAACAGACCTAAGACACTGAAAATGGTTTTTGTTACTTAAAAAGCAAGGGTAAGGACATGCTGACAAATATTGGTACATACAAGTTGGTAATTCAACTCATTTAGACTGATTACCTACAACACTCCAATTAAATACTAATGTTCAAAATTACAGGTTATTACTCTCCCTGGGAAAGAAGGGACACTGACCGGCAAGACCCTTTCCATGGCCCCTATCACCCGATGGGCTCTGGATGTGATCCCATCTGTCCAAGGTGAAGTCCCCTGCAAGCCCCAAACAGACCCACAGTGCCATGTGTTCTCTGTCAGAACTTAGTACCAACTTTCCATTTTCTTAGTTACAGGCTGACATCAACCTCTGTCTCAACGACCTGACAGAATAGGGCCAGGGACCACAGAGCCTGGAGGAGGGAAAAAAAATAATAAAAACCAAACTCCAAAACTGGCGCTGGCCGAGGAATGGCGAAAATGCAAAGGGTAGCGCCTGAGCTTAAAAGCTGGAAAACCACGCGTACGATCTACTCTCCTTAGGCCAGGCCTGGAGGGGTCCTCCAGCCCGCTCTTACCTAACCTCGCCGGAGGTTTTCAGTGCTTTTCCATCTCCGTGTCCACACCTATCAGGAAAAGTCCACATAAACCATCTGAAAGACACACACATTCTATAAAGAAGGGAGCATTTGCCCGGCCGGGGAGGCTCAGGGGTTGAGCGTCGACCTATGATCCAGGAGATCAAGGTTCAATTCCCAATCAGGGCCCAGGCCCAGGTTGCGGGCTCGATCCCCAGCAGAGGGGGTGCAGGAGGCAGCTGATCAATGACTNCCAGGCCCAGGTTTCGGGCTCGATCCCCAGCAGAGGGGGTGCAGGAGGCAGCTGATCAATGACTCTCTCATCACCGACATTTCCATCTCTCTCTCTCCCTCTCCCTTCCTCTCTCGGAAATCAATAAAGCCATATTTAAGAAAAAGAACGGGTCCCCCGCCCATCAGCAGCGGTGCCTAGACAGATGTGGTGTACTGACGTGCACGAAAGGGCTGGAGCTCACCGATGGTGTAGAACCTCTTCAGCTCACTCCTTCGGGAAGGATGCTTCGGGGGATTGGCCGTGCTGTTCTGATCTTCTTCAATGATGGGTGTCTTGGGTGCGGGGGGCTTACTGGCTTGTGGCATTTGCTTTCCTGCACCAGCCAAAGGGTTGAACCCTGGAGCAGTAATATCCACCGACTGGGACTTTTTCTTCAACCTACAGGCAAAGAACACCACACGCTGTGACTGCTGATTCGAGGGATACGCTTGTTCCACATTTCTCTCCACCATACTTAGTTTTCAACGACTGGGTTATGTCTGGCCCTGAAATAGAACAAGGTTTATTCAGAAATTATAGACCTTTCCCACAGGGTTTTAAATTCTTCAAATATTTTCGAAAAGGTTTGGGAAAAATAAATCTTCTGCTTAACCATTTTGAAAGGTTTCACTAAAATATATTAAAATGTAAGGTGATAGAGGACTTCTGTTCTTCTGATAATAGCAAAATAAAATGTAGAGTCAGAGATAATGCATTTGGCTATTGCTTTTGGTTCTGAAAGGAGGATTTTTTCAATGCTATAGTCAAACACTAGTTAGAAATAAATAATTGCAACCCAGGAAAGGCAAAGGAAAGGATTATCTGGGTAATCTAAGACAGCATCTCAGCTGTAAAATTATGGAGCTCACACGGTTCCTCCAGACACTCAGTGACAATGAAAGTACTGCCCACTTCTACAGTCTAAAGAGCTGACATCAGACCTAGCTTGGAAAGCAAAAAGCTACCCATAAAACATTTTCCCCACTCACGCATGGGAATGTTTTTCTTGGTGTAAAAATTATTGGTAAATGATATGAGCTAAATTCAAGTACTCCAAGCCACACAACTTGGTATTTGTCATGTAACTGAACCCTAAACCCAGATTACTCTTGGGCCTTGGTATTTCTAGAGGCCAATNCCATATTTAAGAAAAAGAACGGGTCCCCCGCCCATCAGCAGCGGTGCCTAGACAGATGTGGTGTACTGACGTGCACGAAAGGGCTGGAGCTCACCGATGGTGTAGAACCTCTTCAGCTCACTCCTTCGGGAAGGATGCTTCGGGGGATTGGCCGTGCTGTTCTGATCTTCTTCAATGATGGGTGTCTTGGGTGCGGGGGGCTTACTGGCTTGTGGCATTTGCTTTCCTGCACCAGCCAAAGGGTTGAACCCTGGAGCAGTAATATCCACCGACTGGGACTTTTTCTTCAACCTACAGGCAAAGAACACCACACGCTGTGACTGCTGATTCGAGGGATACGCTTGTTCCACATTTCTCTCCACCATACTTAGTTTTCAACGACTGGGTTATGTCTGGCCCTGAAATAGAACAAGGTTTATTCAGAAATTATAGACCTTTCCCACAGGGTTTTAAATTCTTCAAATATTTTCGAAAAGGTTTGGGAAAAATAAATCTTCTGCTTAACCATTTTGAAAGGTTTCACTAAAATATATTAAAATGTAAGGTGATAGAGGACTTCTGTTCTTCTGATAATAGCAAAATAAAATGTAGAGTCAGAGATAATGCATTTGGCTATTGCTTTTGGTTCTGAAAGGAGGATTTTTTCAATGCTATAGTCAAACACTAGTTAGAAATAAATAATTGCAACCCAGGAAAGGCAAAGGAAAGGATTATCTGGGTAATCTAAGACAGCATCTCAGCTGTAAAATTATGGAGCTCACACGGTTCCTCCAGACACTCAGTGACAATGAAAGTACTGCCCACTTCTACAGTCTAAAGAGCTGACATCAGACCTAGCTTGGAAAGCAAAAAGCTACCCATAAAACATTTTCCCCACTCACGCATGGGAATGTTTTTCTTGGTGTAAAAATTATTGGTAAATGATATGAGCTAAATTCAAGTACTCCAAGCCACACAACTTGGTATTTGTCATGTAACTGAACCCTAAACCCAGATTACTCTTGGGCCTTGGTATTTCTAGAGGCCAATGTATCATTTTATCGGGTCTGTTTTGTCCTACAGCAAACAAGTTGGCAGTTTTCTTTATCAATTATGGTGCTCACAACTGAACATTTGCAATTTTCTAAAAGTTTCATACATCCTCACACCTCCAAGTTTTATTGCTATTTTTTGGACATAAAGTACATTAACTTCCATTTTAGACAGCACTCCAGTCCTTGGCAAAAATTATTTTCAGAATGTAAGAGGTTTTATCTCAAATTCACACAGCAGAATATTTTATCACCTGAAACTGTTTGTATTTTATATTGGCATGTTTTAGAATTGATCCAAGTGACTAAAGTTACATATGGGAGACTTGGTTAGTTACAGGCTATGTAATGGCTTATATTTGAGAAAAGCACTAGATAATGTAATTTATATGATGGCTTATATTTGATAATGTGCTAAGATAATGTAATTAATGAGGTTCCACATCACTTCAAAATGTCTGTGTCCCACAGTCCTTTTTACAGCCTTTTTAGAATGAGCAAAGGACATGGCTCTGGCCCCCTAAGGCCAACGGCAGGCAGCAATGGCCCTTTGGAATGTCCCCTCTTCTTTTTGCCCTTCCCCAGTCAGGACCTGAAGGGCATCGTGTTCTCACTGCTGTTGCTGGAGTCTGGAATGTTGCTAATAGGTTGCATGTTCTTAGAAAGCAGAACTGTGTGGGTAACTGAATAACTCCCTTCAAGGTTCTAAAAGCGACTGCCGTGGTTGACAAGGAAACCTGATAATGCCACCTTCAATTTCCAAATTTCATAAAAGGAGAACTCTTTCTAAATGTTTAACAATGTCTTAATTACATGTGTTAACCTCTCCTTGCCCCTGTTTTCTCATATATAAAATGGAGGAATTAATGATACCTATGTCATAAAATTGCCATGAGGATTAACTTAATATTTATAAAAGTACTTAGGATACTTGACATGTAGTAAGTATTATACATGTTTTTGCTTTAAACAAAACGCAAGCAAACATGAAACAGTCATTGAGCTTTTATAATGGACATCATATAAGCCACATGTTATATATACATTATTGCATTTGTTGATCTCTACAAACCTATGAGGTAGGTAGGTATTTATTGGAATTAAGAGATAAATTTCAGCTCTGACCCTTACTAGTCATGGGACTTTGGACAAGGACCTGGACTGTCTAGGTCTCAATGCATAATGGTACTATCCGCCTACTTTACCCAAGAGAGTTACCGTGAGCATAAAACGTGTTAATTTATGTAAAAGCACTTTATAAAATTCCATAGAAATCTACAGTACCAATAGCATCTATACAAATTCACCTTTTGCCCATTCACTTGTTGTCTACTTACACAAACGTACATTACACATATATCCATGGATGCATGTGAATGGCTGTGCCCCAAAGACCCAACACTTGTAGTCCTTTCCAGTAATTTCCAACAAGAAGACCATCTGTGGTTTGCACAACTCATTACTGTTAGCAAAGCTGTCTCCTTGCTTCCTAAAAGAGCTAATGTAAGGATATTTTTTTAATCAGTAAAGCTGCTGAGAATGCAGCTATTCCAAGTTGGATACTGCGGCTGCTGCAGAAATCTCAAGTCACTCAAAAAGAGCTTTTGAGAGCAAATGCCTAAAAAATTTTCACATGGCAAAATTAAGGCTTTTGTTACCCCTCTTGTACAGTCTGACTACAAATCAGCAGCTAAAAACAAACCACAAAATCAGCAAAAAACCAAGCATATTTGGAAGTCCAACCAGAAGAAATAACAGATTGAAAACCAATGCATCTAAACAAGAAAACAACCCACTGGGCTGGAGAATATGCCAATTACAGCCTGCTCTGTAACTGCTGGGGCCATACTGTTCTTTGCGTCCCCAAACACAAGGACTGAGACAGAAAATCTCATTAACATGGAATCAGGAATTATACAATTTATAATTCTAAACCAATACAAAATGTTTCAACAGAAGTATCCTTTGGGAGTACAGACTGGTTTTGGAACAATTAATGGGACACCCAAACTAGATACCTTATTATAATCAGACATGTTTCTAGCCCTGTATTCATGCTAAGAAATTTATGCTCTCCTAATTCAGAAATTCAGAAAACAGAAAATACAAATGTGAAGGAAGCCACAGGTGCAATGATATGTAGTAATGATTTGCTAGAAATTCTCTTATTAAATGCAATTGAACTCAGCTCTGTAAAGAGCAAGGCCAGTGTACATACAATGACTTGTAATGGAAGCATACACGCACTCATTGCTATTATTTTATTCTAAAAATACTAAAAATTAAATTCAAAACCAATCTGCCTCTCCAGAGTTGCATGAACCCTCACATAAAATGTTAGCAATTCCTACTGAACTTTCATGAAAAAGACATCCACGTTCTCAAAGCCTGCCAGCTGCTTTATATCCCCATGCCTATACCAGCCCAAAGAAAAGAGGGAGGAGATTAGTTTCTCCTATTAGGAGTCCTCACTGCCAGATCAATTTAATTCCTACATTCACAGAAATTCTGTCTGTTCACCATATTACTCCTAGGACTTAGTATAGTTCTTGACATATAGTAGGCATTTAGTACATCAATTGTTGAATGAATGAATGGATGGCTTCATCATGAGAAAAAGCCACAAGAAATAATACAAAAATGCAAGCAGGTTCATATATAAAAATCCATGAATGTAATCTAAGAGAGTAAGACTTTGGACAGTTTGGTAGCTGATATAACAATCACTTTAATACAATCACATAACATAGACTTCATCCCACCCCATTATGGGAATGTGTTTTTGAGCTTGGACAACGGAAATAGTTCTATCTCCGTTATCAATACCATGATAAATATTTCATTTTAGTCACTAAATCTAGCTTTGTAATTTCTTTTTTTTAAAAGATCTAATTGGCTTTACCCAATAATTCAGAAATCAGACAGCACCCCATCTAGTAAATAGAAAGGTGCTTTCCCAGCTTTGTAATTTCCAAAGAAACACTGTAGCTTTGATAAACTGACATCCGTATGCCAAAAATAAAAAAAAAAGTCAATGTTGGCATGAAGGAGTGAAAAGAGCAAGGACCCTGGAGTCAAATATTTAGGTTCAAGTTCAAGATCTACTGCTCTTAAGCAATGTAATGATGAAACAACTATTGATTAGAAAGATCTACTTTATGCTTTTTGAATAGTCATTAAGAATTTTGCATATGATCTTTCTACTATAAAGTTTCAAAGCATTAAGTCAAATAGTAGTAAAATTTTCATGAGTTTCCTCTTCCATGTACTTTCCAATTATACCACTATATTGCATGCTTTGACTTTGAAATTATACAAATTTCCAATTTATTTCAGTTTTTGCCTTGGAACTTCAAAGCCTTTCAACTAGAAAATCCTGAAAGTAGAAACCCATTATGCAAATCCAAAGATTAGGGCTTGAAGGATTTGGAAGTCAAATTCTTGTAAATGTTAAACAGTCTTCTGCAATACTCACAGTGATGAAATTTAATTTTATTACCTTTTATGAAATGATCTGTAATATTCTATTGCCACAAGAACTGCATTCTGTTTATTAATTTTAGGAAGAAGGAATCAGAATAAAGAAGACTATTTTAAGACTTTAGGATTATATCCAACATTGCCGAAGGAAGGAATCTATATTCTACTGGGCCTATTACAAACTATCTGTGTAAAGCGTTTGCTTACTTTTCTCTCTTCTGTCTCTCACTTCACTGTTCACTCTGGTGGACTGAAAACACACTTCCTTTATGCACCCGACACAGTGCCTTGCGCATTATGTGTCCACCAAAAATATTTACTGAATGAATGAATGAATGATCCCTCCACGTAGATGTCACACGTCTTTATTCAGGGCAGGAGGTTATTCGTAATTTGATTCAGTCAGATGTCTTGACTGTTTCCCAAAAATCTGCTGCTATATCTCTTTGGTTAGAAAAACCACAATATTCATAACAGTTATGTGAAAAGAGAGCTGTCTCCTGATCTATGACCCGAACCAATTTTGAAAGCTGAAAATTATGGTTGAACACGTGGTCTAAGAAATAGGCCTGGGGTAGAATAGCCTTTTAAGCACGTGCTGATATACTGGCTTTGTGCGAATGGGCATTTCACTCCTGCATTTTGCAGGCCTGATACTTCTGCAGGTGGTAAATTACATTAGGAGAAAAATCAGATGGCGGCTGAATGCAGAGAGCAAAATACTGCACATTAACAAAGCCAGGGAAAAAAATGGGCAGTGAAAAAAAAAAATCCATATGT